TTCTCTTCTTCCTTGTTTTATAGAAGGGAAAAGTGAGGCTAACCAACCCTACATAACTATGAGTATGTAGCAGAACTGGGATTCCAACCCAGGTCTGGATGACTCCAAAGTCTCCCCCTTATACCACACTGTTCACACACCACTCAATGGAGAACATAATGGTTACCTTGGTGATCTCTGTGGTCAGTTTTCTTTTGCTTTACAGTAGTCTCTAGAGTAGAATATTCAGGAAGGATGGCAGGTTGACTATGTCCTGACTCCCTTCATTCCAATACAGCTATTTCTCCTGCATCAAGTATTATGGATGCAGTTAACAATGGTGAAGGTGGTGATCAATATGTGTGCAGGACTTTCCCTGCCTGAGCCAGGTAAGAACCTAGAAACAAAGTCAGAGACCTTAAGATCAAAGATTAGAATATATGGATACAGAAGGAGAACTGAATCCATGAGATTTATGCACCCCACCTCTCATTACAATAACACTACCAAGAGAAGGGCAACTAGGTCCACATAAGTAGGTTTGGGCTCCCTGCCCCTGAGATGCTTAGGAGAAGATGAAAAAGAGAACTTTCTTCTCTATACTCTTAAGGTAGGAGACCTCAAGTTGGCTGAGAAACAGAAAGGCTTCTTCCTGATGTTGCTATCTCAGTAGAGGATGATAAAGTTCTTCTACTGGCTCAAAGAACAGAGACCACCAAGCTTTCCATTACTCATGAGACAGTCCCACTTAAAATACATCAACAGCTGAACCTGAGCCTAAGTGAACAGACTATCAAATCAAAAAACAATTTTACATGAGGGTGTCTGACAGTCAGGGGGGGAGAACAAGTAGAACATTCTGAACTGGCCTTTAGTGAAACAGAGCTGCTGGAGGAGGCTAACAACAAATTGGACAGGAAAAACAGTTATTAAAGAGGTTCAAAGGACAACACAAAGATGGCTCTCAGCACTGAAAAACATGATTTAGATGAATATAGTCAGTAAATAAATGAACAAAGGAATCACCACTGAAATTCAAATCACAAGCCAGATGAATGGGAGAAATATTTTCAAAAACTGAGCTACAATACAAAAAGATGAGAGTATACTGAGGCAAACTGAGAAACAAGAGAGTTCCAGAAGGAGAAAAAAGAAGAGGTGGAGTGGAGGCCATTGTTATACGTAATTAAATAAGTCATAGAAGAAAATATTCCTGACCTGAAGATGAATCTGTGTCTGCATGGTAAAAAGTATCACATAATTATATGTTTAAAGTACAAATCAAAGCAATGCAGTGTGTGGTTTATAACATGTAAAAGTAAAATGTAAGACAACAATAGCACAAAAGAAAAAGGAGATAAATGGAAATATGCTGTTAAGGATACTTAATTGTATATGAAGTGGTATACACATTAATTCATAGTAGACTATGATTAGTTAGGGATGACTATTTTGATCCCTAAAGCAACATTACAAAATAAAACAAAGAGGTGTAGCTAAAATCCAATTAAGCATATAAAAGGAAACACTAAACAATATATTTTTTTAAAGATTTTATTTATTTATTTGATGGAGAGATAGAGAGCACAAGTAGGCAGAGAAGCAGGCAGAGGGAGAGGGAGAAGCAGACTCCCTGCTGAGCAGGGAGCCCGATGTGGGGCTTGATTCCAGGACCTGGGATCATGACCTGAGCCAAAGGCAGCTGCTTAACCAACTGAGCCACCCAGGCACCCCGAACACTAAACAATATTCAACTAATCCAAAAGAAATCAGCAAAGGAAGAAAAGTAAGCCCAAAACAGGACAAATAAAACAGATAGCAAGACAGTGGACTTCAACCAAATCTTGTCAATAATTACATTAAATGTAAATGGACTAAACACTAATTTTAAAAAGTTAAAGTGATTATCAGAGTTAAAAGAAGGCAAGAACAACTATATGCTGTCTACAAGAAATGCACTTTATTTTTTTTAATCTTATTTTATTTTTTATTTTTTTGTTATGTTATATTAATCACCATGCATTACATCATTAGTTTTTGATGTAGTGTTCCATGATTCATTGTTTGCATATAACACCCAGTGCTCCATTCAGTACGTGCCCTCTTTAATACCCATCACCAGGCTAACCCATCCCCCTACCCACTCCCCTCTAGAACCATCAGTTTGTTTCTCAGAGTCCATAGTCTCTCATGGTTCATCTCCCCCTCCGATTTCCCCCCCTTCTTTTTTCCCTTCCTGCTATCTTCTTCTTTTTTTTTTTTCTAACCAATGATGGAAAATAAGGAAGCTAAGAGAAAGAGAGATAAACAACTACTGGATCACGAGGGCAGAATTCGAGAGATAAATGATACCATAAGATGAAACAACATTAGAATAATTGGGATCCCAGAAGAAGAAGAAAGAGAGAGAGGGGCAGAAGGTATATTGGAGCAAATTATAGCAGAGCACTTCCCTAATTTGGGGAAGGAAACAGGCATCAAAATCCTGGAGGCACAGAGAACCCCCTTCAAAATCAATAAAAATAGGTCAACACCCCATCATCTAAGAGTAAAACTTATGAGTTTCAGAGACAAAGAGAAAATCCTGAAAGCGGCTTGGGAGAAGAGATCTGTAACCTACAATGGTAGAAACACTAGATTGGCAACAGACCTATCCACAGAGACCTGGCAGACCAGAAAGGACTGGCATAATATATTCAGAGCACCAAATGAGAAAAATATGCAGCCAAGAATACTATACCCAGCTAGGCTGTCATTGAAAATAGAAGGAGAGACAAAAAGCTTCCAGGACAAAAAAAAAACCAAAGGAATTTGCAAACACGAAACCAGCCCTACAAGAAATATTGAAAGGGGTCCTCTAAGCAAAGAGAGAGCCTAAAAGCAGCATAGACCAGAAAGGAACACAGACAATATACAGTAACAATCACCTTACAGGCAATACAATGGCACTAAGTTCATATCTTTCAATAGCTACCCTGAATGTAAATGGGCTAAATGCCCCAATCAAAAGACCCAGGCTATCAGATTGGATAAAAAAACAAGACCCATCGATATGCTGTCTGCAAGAGACTCATTTTAGACCCAAAGACACCCCCACATTGAAAGTGAGGGAGTGGACAACCATTTATCATGCTAATGGACACCAAAAGAAAGCTGGGGTGGCAATCCTTATATCAGACAAATTACATTTTAAACCAAAGACTGTAATAAGAGATGAGGAAGGACACTATATCCTACTTAAAGGGTCTATCCAACAAGAAGATCGAACAATTGTAAATATCTATGCCCCTAACATGGGAGCAGCCAATTATATAAGCCAATTAATAACAAAAGCAAAGAAACACATTGACAACAATACAATAATAGTGGGGGACTTTAACACCCCCCTCAATGAAATGGACAGATGATCTAAGCAAAAGATCAACAAGGAAATAAAGACTTTAAATGACACACTGGACCAAATGTACTTCACAGATATATTCAGAACATTCCATCCCAAAGCAACAGAATACACATTCTTCTCAAGAAATGCACTTTAAATATGAAGGCACAGATAAGTTAAAAGGATGAAAAAAGATATACTATGTAATTACTATTTCTGTGTTTTTTAAAAAGCTAAAGATAGGCTAAATGGGTGATGGGCATTAAGGAGGGTACTTGTGATGAACACTGGGTGTTATATGTAAGTGATGAATCACTAAATTCTATACCTGAAACCAATTTTATCATATATGTTAACTAACCAGAATTTAAATAAAAGCTTGAAAGAAATAAATTTTTCAATTAATAAAAAAATATGAAGCCACAGATCAGTTAAAAGAATGACAAAAGATATACTATACAATTATTATTTATGTATTTTTCAAAAGCTGGAGTGGCTATATGAATATCAGACAAATTAGACTTCAAAACAAAGGGCATTGCCAGTGATAAAGAGGAACATATAAAAGAGCCAATTCATTGAGAAACATGAAAATACTAAATTTGCATTCACAAAATAACAAAGCTTTAAAACACATGAAGTAAAATCTGACAGAGTTATAGATTTTCATACTCCTGGTAGAAGAGGTATATCCCCAAAATCAGTAAATATAGAGTATAGATTCTCAAAATGTGATCTGGCTACCACTAAGGGTCCCCGAGACCCTTTCAGGGAGGCTGTAAACTCAAAACTGATTTCATAATAATACCAAAAGGTTATGTGCCTTTTTCACTTTCATTCTATACTGGAATAAAGTATAAGAGAGTATCTTCACAATCAGGCAAAAGTTCCTTAGATGGGATATAGAAAGTATTAACCTCACAAGAAAAAAAACATAAATTCTACTTGACCAAAATTAAAGAAAAAACTTCTGCTTATCCAATGACACTAATAGCAGAATGTAAAGGCAAGTCACAGACTAGAAGAAAATACTTATAGTAAATATATCTAATAAAGTACTTCTATGTATTTTATATAAAGAACTCCTACAAATAACAAAGGATAGTCAAATTTTTAAATGGGCAAAAGACCTAAAAAGATACTTCACAAAAACAGATATACAGATGGCTAATAAGCATATGAAAGGTGATTAACATCATTAGTCATCAGGCAAATGTAAACCCTAATGGAATAACCATCTCACTAGAATGACTGAAGTGAAAAAACTGTTGACATCAGATGTTAGTGAGAATATGGAGCTACCTAACTCTCACAGACCACTAGTGAGAGTAAAAAATAGAACAAACATCTCGGAAAACTAATTGTCAAACATGTACCAATTCATGACATCATGCATGAATCCCAAAAGCATTATGGCAAGCAAGAAAAAAAAAAAAAAGCCAAACGCAAAAAACACAAAATTTGGATTCTCCTCTTCGAGGTTTTTATATCTATGGGAGATTTCATGGCTACTGTGCATCGTAAGTACTTAATGAATCCACCACTGTCAATTCTTATTTAAAATACTAGCAAACTTTGAATTCTTACTTCTAGGAAGTTCTAATATTCTTTTCTTGTACTCCAAGGGGTCATCTTGCACAAACTCTAGTTATCTGTCTGCCACTTAGGAGATCAGCAATTAAAGGCCTTTGCATCAGGATTTTCTGCTACCTGCAGCTGAAGAATCTGAAGTGATAAAGCTTGATGTTGAAGAAGGGGCCAGAACATGAAGGTGACTATATCTCATGCTAAGGAAATAAGATTTTATCCTGTCAACAATAAGTAGCTTCCAAAGTTTTCAAAAAAGCGAGAGGGGCGCCTGGGTGGCTCAGTAGTTGAGCATGTGCCTTCGGCTTAGGTCATGATCCCTGGATCCTGGGATCGAGCCCTGCATCGGGCTCCCCGCTTGGTGGGAAGCCTGCTTCTCCCTCGCCCACTCCCCCTGCTTGTGTTCCCTCTCTCACTGTCTCTCTCTCTCTCTCTCTCTCTCTCTGTCAAATAAATAAATAAATAATCTTAAAAAAGAAGGGAGAGAAGTATCTAGCAGCATTGTGCTGCTCAGACTAAAGGCAGAAAGATCAGTTTGAAGTCTGGGAGGGATTGTTGCCTGAATTAAGACAGTGACAGTGGAGTACAGATAAGACAATGGAATTAAAAGCAAGCAGAATCCAAAGACATCCGGGTGAAAACACGGACAGGTGTTGGTGGTGGGTCCGATGTGGAAAGTAAGGGCATGAGAGGCATTATAAACGATACCTGGATTCCTGGCTCAGACAACTGGGATTGTGGTAGGACCCCTGCCAAGGAGAAAGTCCAGGAAGTGGAGGGGTAGTGATGAATCCAGCTCTGGGCTTCCCAAACTTAGGTGTCCAGGACATTTCCAGGGGGCAGCTGGTGCTCCACAGTGAAGTTGCGGTTGTAGAGTGGGCCTCTCGGTCATCTTCTCCAGACTGAGGCTTTTGTCTTACCAGCCTCAGTCACTTCAATTCCTTAGCACACAGTGGTGCCTGAAAAGAGTCCCATCCTTCTTCCCTAGCATCACTCCTGGTCCCTCCCCTCCTCACTAGACTTGCGGAAAGCTGAAATGGATGCCATCGTCCTCTCCCTCCTCTTGTTTGTTCGGTCTTAGCTTTGGTGTTACCTCCCACTTCCAGGGAGAGGCTCCTATTGGAGCATTCAAAAGTGCATGCCTGGTGACCAACTTCCTATTCTCTTCATCAAGAGCACAGATCCACAACCATTTGACATTTACTGAGCTTTATAATGTTCTAGACTTTGTGCCGCAGACCAGATACACAGAAATGCAAGGTCATGGCTCCTGCCTTCAATGAGCTCACAGCAAAAAAGACAGACATACACAACTGCAGTGATTAGATTGGCATGGGTATGGCTGAAATTCAGTGGGGTTTTGGAGGAAGGGAGAGTGGGAAAGGCTGCAGAAATAAGGGATGGTGTCAAGAGGTGGGAGCCTTTGGCCTTACATTGAAGAATGTATAAAAAATCAGCGAGATAGAGCAAGATGTGGCAGATTCTCTAAACAAAAGATCTCGGGCACCTGGGTGGCTCAGATGGTTAAGCATCTGCCTTCGGCTCGGGTCATGATCCCGGGGTCCTGGGATCGAGTCCCGCATCGGGCTTCCTGCTCCTTGGGAGCCTGCTTCTCCCTCTGCTTCTCTCTCCCTCTCTCCCTCTGTCTCTCATGAATAAATAAATAAAAAATCTTTAAAAAAAAAAAACAAAAGATCTCATAAAGACCTGAGGTATGAGAGAGCCTGGCATAACTGGAAAGTGGGAAGTTTCAGACAGCTTAGTGGGGCTGGAGTCTAATGCGCAAGGACAGGAATGTTTGCCACGGGTCTGCAGAGAGAGTAAGCGGTTTGTTTGTAGAGCAAGTGCTAAGCCTTGCACAGTGTTTAAAGCTTCACAGGCAATAGGAACAGCCTTTCTCTCCTGGGTTCTCTCCCATAGGAGAAGCTCTTTAACAATCTGGGAGAAGTCTCATTAATAGCCACAGTCTCCTCAGCATCATCATGTGGTGCGCCATAAAAGGACAATTTGCTGGCTAGGGAGGATATTTGCAGCTAGAGCAAAACAGGTTACACAGTCAACTTGTGGCATTCCTGGGAACTAGCAAGGTGGGGAACCAGCATTAGGGTTTAGATACGAGCACCAGCTTGGGCTGCAGACAGCCAGAGAAGCTACCTCAGAGCACTACTAGGGCTCAGGGTAGGATGATAGGCAGTCATCCCCAGACCCCAAGCCTTGGCTCTACTGCAGTTCCTGCCTAAAATAGGGCTAATTAACTCTAGTGGACATGGTAAGGTGGCCAGGGTCTCAGGGCAAACTGTCACGGCAAGAGCCACAGGACCACCAGGACTCAGAAGGGCAGAGCCACTCTGGGCCCAGGCAGCACTTACAATGGCCACAAGATGGGGGAAGAATACAGGACAAAGAGAGATGTAACACCAGCAAGGGAACACCAGGGATGGCCAAGGCTAGCTCCTCTTATACACATGCAAATGGCACAGCCTTGGTGCAGCAGCTCCCACAAAGATATCCTGTGAGCTTCTGGATTAGCTTATTTGTTGTGAGTGTTTTTATGACACCAGAGTGAATTTTATGCCTCTGTGATGGTAGGGCTAGGAAGAAATCCTGTTAATAGTCTAGTACTACTATCCATAAAAGCTACAATCTACCATAGAATCTAAGAGGCCACATAGTGCCAGAAACATTACTATTTTACCTACCTATCTGAAGCATTTAATTGTCATTGGTCTTATTGCCAAATAGTCCCTGTTCTCCCTGCTTCTAGGAACATGATGAATGAGAAGACTACCTGACCGCTTTGTGATTGGGTGAAGCCATATGCTAACCCTGGCTAATGAGTTGTGAGTGGAAGTGACCAACTCATTACTTGTGAGTCTGAGACCTTCAAGGCACCTTCTAATTTGTGCAAAGTTACCATATAGGCTGAAGGCAGCAATGGACACGGTATGCAAGATGCATGGCTAGCTGTGATTACAATGAACCCAAGCCCCTGAGCTGTGAGTCAGCTCTGACAAGCCTCCTTTGTGTTTCTGCTTCCATTGGATTAGAAAAGGCCACAGTCTCTAAGATTCATAAAAACTGCTATCACTCCAAGAAGACATTTCAGGATACACAACTGGCATCAACTAACACACATTTTTTAAACAAAGACATATGCTTCCAAATGAAATGATAACAAAGCACAACTTTAAGACATAATAAAAATGCCAGACTTGGCCCGGGAAAACTTTCAAAACTGAGAAAGTGAAACATATCTGTTATGTTACTTTTTCTGTCTACCGTCACTCACTGCATTTGGTCTTTTGGGGGAAGGTTGATATTTAGAGCATTTAGGAATTCGTATGGAGAGCAAATGCTTTGACAAGGTCCTAATTCAGCCCTGAGATATCCAGGATGAGAAAGAGAGAAGGATTTGTGAGCTTTACTACCAGGAATTAAAGAGGCATAAGAGACAGGGGCCTTCCCTAAACCTTCTCAGAAAAAATGTTTGGGAAACATAGACCAGGGTAACAGGTTACAGGTTCATGAGCAATGTTTTTGAAATGCTGAGTTCCACCCATATTTGCCAATTTTGTTCTTTCTTGTCTGTGATCCCACATAAAGAAAAAGAGTGAGGCTTTTGTACTTGTTGATGAATACAATTTCTAGGACTTCCCTGATTTTAATTACCTTGATCCATTCTGTCCACAAGCATTTTTAAGATGGCAATTCCTTAGTTTTGGGTTCAGAATACATGGTTGCTGTGGGACCTGGCTCTAAAGAGAACCCTTCTTGGGCTCTGGGCAGCTTGCATCCAACTTTGTTAGACATCAGGAAACGAGATGTTACTGTGAAAATGAGCACAAACAGATGGAAGCTTCTTCCTGGAAGATAAACAGCACCAGAACTGAGATGGGGAACGTGGACCCTGAGCCTCATCTAGCAGAAAAACCCAACAAGTTCCCAAAGTGAGATGATAAAAGCAAAGCTTGTGAAAGTGTCATTTGGGACTTCCCCGTACAAACAAACTTAACACCCAAATCTTAGATTCTGAATACGATTCTCCACTGAAAGGAATCAGGGTTCTTTGAAGAAATGGCTGGTTTTAGGTGTGGAGCTGAAAAAGTACAAGATGAAGTTGAAACATCTTGCTGGGGTGCCTGGGTGACTCAGATGGTTAAGCAACTGCCTTCAGCTCAGGTCATGATCCTGGAGTCCTGGGATCGACCCACATAGGGCTCCCTGCTCAGCAGGGAGTCTGCTTCTCCCTCTGACCCTCTTCCCTCTCATGCTCTCTATCTCTCATTCTCTCTCTTCTCAAATAAATAAATAAAATCTTAAAAAAAAAAAAGATCTGGGTCAGAAAGTAGAGACATGCAAAAAGAATATGGGGACATGTCAAATGGTAAGGAGCCAGCTTGAAGAGACTCAATCTGGGACAATTTCAGCCTCAAAATAAATAGTGATAGTGCAGATTATAACCCACAGAATACAGTAAGAATCCATGGGCCCATACTTATGTAAATACATAAATAAATATATGAGAAAGAAGAGAAGTCTCTTTGCTACAGTCCAGTGGCAACTAACAGGGAAGAAATTATGGGAACAAATGTGGAAGGAATGATGGAACTTGAAAATATTTACCATTTGGCAATAATTGTTTTAGGTCTTCTGCCTTTTGAGATGATATACTGAGAAAAACATATCATTACTTCTGTGGCAATACTTCCAAAAAGATATAACCTGAATCTAATCATGGGGAAACATCAGATAAACCAAAAGTGAAAGACATTCTACAAATCAGCTGGCCAGTAATCTTCAAACACGTCTAAGAAGACCAAGAAACCTGAAGGAAACTATAGAGACAATGACAACCAATGCATCATGCAAAACTAGATTGGTCCTAAACCAGAAAACTGATTTTTTCTTTTGCCAGAAGCACGTTAGTGTGACAACTGATGAAATGGAAATGTCTGTTGATTAGATGATAGCTATATGAATGTTAATTTCCTGGTTTGATAATAGTACTATGATTATGTAAAAGAATATTCTTGTTTTGAGATACACACATTGAAGGATTTAGGCATAAAGGGGCATTATATCTTCAATGTACCTTCAAATGATTCCAAAAGAGAGAAAGATAAATCAAATCAGTAAAATGTTAACAGACTGGCAATCTGGGTGAAGAATATACGGAAATTCTTC